TGTGTGTGTGTGTGTGTGTGTGTGTGTGTGTGTGTGTGTGTGTGTGTGTTGATTTTAATAAACACGTCTACTGCCTCCCCTCCCTGAGGATGAAGCTCATGGTGGCTTTCACTACTACCAGCAGATATTTCCCATTCATAGGGGTAAGATTTCAAGTTAGTTAATGATTTGTGTTCATTGGACTAGGGATGATGAGGACAGGTTTATCTCCTGCCTGGTGGATCTCTCTCTCTCTCTTTTTAATGGTCATCATTTGGGTTTCTTGAAGATGCAACCAAGACCAAAGTAGTACCACAGCCACTTAATTATTCCCCACAGAAATGTAAAAGACTCCAAAGGGATGGGCAGGGAAAAGGAAAAAGCAGTAGAGAAATTCAGGCCTTCAGGCTTTCCTCAACCAAAATCAAAATTTCTGCCTTTCCTTTTAAAAAAAAAGTCTCTTCTAATATTTTCACCCTGATTAAGGAAAACTAATCTTTCCAATACTAATATTCACTGATTCTGTTTTCTCTTGGAATATTTTGAGAATATATGATTAAGTATGATTTTTTTTTTTCATTAAGAAAATCTGTTATGGGGAGATAATCATTGGCAAAGAGGTACGAAGTTCAGCAGCATCTCTGGGGAAAGGGGGAAAAAAGGAAAAAAGACTAGTTTTCCTGAAATCATGTCCATCAAATAAGATCTTATAGCAGATACACAAGTTATTGAAGAGTTTTAGTGTTAATATTTAATACATAAGCGCTAAGCATTTAAAGTGGTAACATTTATGCAATTTGAACGATTGTGTATTTTTCTTATTTAATTTTATTTGTGATTTTTTTTCTTTTGTGAACGATTGGTTATAAGGCTTCTGCCTAACTCCAGAAATATTTGTACCATTGCTTTAAAAAGCTATATGTTAGGACATTTATTTCTCTAAAGTTATGTTATTGCTTGGCAATCAGTCTTCTCTCATATAATTGTCTTAGTACATCATGTGCATTGGAAATATAAACAAATGTGGAGGACCAGATAAATTAGTTAATATTTGAAAAAAAATGTATTGTGCATTTTGGCTTCACATGTTAAACTTTTTTTTTTCAGAAAAAAAAAAAGTTGCATGAATGGAAAAAAAGTATCTGTATACAGTATCTGTAAAATTGTCTTCTCTGTTTTAGTTTCTTGCTAATAACCTGTACAAACTAGAATGATGTCAAACCCCTGTCTTTGGTGCATGGCCACAGTCAAAACACCTAAGAGCTAAGAGGCTCCTACTTTTCTTTGATGGTGCCTCATCCTTTCTTTTAGAGTGAACACTGTCCATTTGCATTCTCACTGAGGATCTCGTCGAACCCTGTGTTGCCATGGATTGACTCACCAACTATATACCCTCTCTCTTCAGGAGGATCAAACTATTTTTGATTTGAGAATCTTTCCAAACGAAATAGCGACGTTGTGCTTATTTTCCTCAGTGTTTATCTGTAGATATCACCTTGTGTATTCCATTTTCAATTGTAATCTAGTTTGTAAAAGAGATGGTGACCGCATGTAAATAAAGCATAATGACTCTCTACCCTGCTCCAGGAAAGTGTGGTGTTCTCCCATTCCCTCCCCTCCACTTCATGCCCCCTTCTGTAACAGAATCCCCCAGATTCACCCCATTAGAAGACAATGGAGATAGAGAGCTGCCTCTGTCCAAAAAAGGTTCATTCAATTGAGAATACCCAGCTGGGAACAGAGTGACTGTAAACCTTCCTCTTAGAGTGCCAAAGATCTGGTTTTGCTCCTTCTTGCCAGACACGGGACAGGTCGTTTATCCTCAGTTTCTCATCTGTAAAATAACGCCTTAGGAACACCCAGACAGCTTAGCAAAATCAAAATAGTCTGTCCAAGGCACCCGAGGTCTGTATGTTGCTTATGACTCCTAAGTGAAGGTTCTGTTATATCAGCATTGAAGTCGAGGAGACCTATAGAACTTCTTTGCTGTTGGGGACCTTTGACCTTTTCACATGGAGACCTTTCTGAGGCAGATGAGTCCCGCTGAAAGAAACATCAGGCATACGCAGTCTACTGCAAGTCAAACACGAAACTCTCAAGGTTATGGTAGGAACAGAATCAATATATCCCATATGTATATGTTGGGTTTGGGGCCTCTCCTATTAACTGCTGCTGAACTTCACCCTGTTGTAAAACTATTCTTAGTAGTCTGATTCAGGATTCTTTTTTGTTTGCTTATTGTTTTTAAATAGCTAGATCCTTTAGGAAAAGTCTAGCTTTTTTTTTTTCCTGGCTTCTAGAAATCCCCCAGATTAGGTTTATTTTTAATCTAAAGCATTGGCCTAAGTATTCACAGAATCACACAGACTTAGAACTGGACGAGGAACCTAAAGTTCATCTAGTCCACCTTTATTTTACAGATGAGAAACTGAGGATAAATGACCTGTCCAGCGTTTGACAAGAAAGAGAAAAACCAGGATTTGAAGCCAGGTAATAATAACTACCATTTGTCTCACACTTGAAGATTTGCAAAGCACTTTACAAATATGTCATTTGATCCTCAAATCAACTCTATGAGGTAGAGACTTATTTTCCCCTTTTGCAGGTGAGGAAACTGAGGCATAGCAGATGAGTGATTTGCCCAGCATCACACAACTAAGAAGTGGTCAAGGCAAGATTTGAACCCAGGCCTTCCCTACTCCTAAGTCCAACACTGTCCACAACTCCCATCTAGCTGCCCTAGACCATCAGATTCTAAATTCAGTGCTCCTTCCAACATACTATGCTGTGCCCTGATGTCTTGTGTTTGAATACCAGCATCAAGTTATAGCGCCTCGTATCTTCAGGTAGACTGGATCCTATTTCTAGAATCAAGTTTGACAGCGAATATTTTGGTTCAAAAGTTTTGTTAGTAGAATGCAAGCTCCTTGAAGGCAGGTACTAGTTTTTGTTTTGTCTTTGTGTCTCCAACCCATCTTATGCCCAAGGGAGTATGAATTCCAGTCTCCTGTTCTATAGTTAAGATGTAGGATTTTAGGATCCTAGATTTAGGATTGGAAAGGTCCTCGGAAGCAGGAGACAGGAAATGCAGTTCATCCTTTTGTCAACATGGGTAGCTGGTGGCTCAGGGGATAGAACACTGGGCCCGGAGAGACAGGAAAACCTGAGTTCAAATCCAGCCTCAGACAATCCTTAACTGGGTAACCCTGGGCAAGTCGCTTAACCTCTGTTTGCCTCAGTTTCCTCAACTGTAAAATGGGGGATAATAACAGCACCTACTTTGCATGGTTTTGTAAGGATCAAATGAAATAATATTTTTAAAGCATTTAATTAACACAGTTCCTGACACATAAGAGGCTCTATATAAATGCTTATTCCCCTTCCTCACCCCTAAATGAAGCAGAGACTACTAATTCATCTCTCTTGCTTGCATGGCCACAACTCTAGCTGCCTGAAAAATAAAATAAAATTTTCCTTTTTTCCCCAAGAATGACTTCTGTCATTTGTAAACCAGCTCACCTGTAAAGATGAAGTAGATGGAATTTGTATTCTGTTCATGAGTTCTACTACAAATGCAGCAGTTTCTCTGATATAGAGGATGCTGTATCACAATTAAGTGGAATATATGGGAGTCAGAGTGGTAAAGCAGAAACAGATCTGAGGCCCTTATCTAGACTCTGGCATTGGCTTAGATTTGCGACTTTGAGCAAGTTACTTAACCTCTAATTTCATCATTAAAACAGACCTCTCCAAAGTCATCAGTGACTACTTAATTAGCAAATATTTTGGCCTTTTCTTAATCATCCTTCTTGACCTCTCTGCAGCACTGAGAAGGTTGAGCACCTTATCTTTCTGTATATTCTCTTCCCTCTCTATTTTCTCAGTTGAGACCTCACTGTGGCAAAGCAATCCTTTCATATATCCCTAACTGATTCACTATCACACTCACCACAGCAGTTTTTCCAAAGCTTTCTATTCCTCTCAAGCCCCAGTGCTCCACCTCCCCCTTCCATCTCAACTGAGAATCTTGTCTCATGTTTTCATTGAAAAAATTGAAGCTGGGGCAGCTAGGTGGCACAGTGGATGGAGCACCAGCCCTGGAGTCAGGAGGACCGGAGCTCAAAACTGGCTTCAAACACTTACTAGCTGTGGGACCCAGAGCAAGTCACTTACTCCAATTGCTAAAAAAAAAATAAAAAAATTGAAGCCACTTACTAAGAGCTCCCTCCTCATCTCACACCACTCAGATGCCTTCTCTATCTCCTCTATCTCCTCTCTCACCCCCATCTCACATGAGGAGGTAGGTGGCCCTTCTTGCCAAGACAAACCTTTCTACATAGATAAGCGATTTCATTCTATACAGTCTTGTCCAATATATTGTCCCCTGTATCATCCCCACTATCTCATTAATCTTCAGTCTCTCTACTGGCTGCTTCCCTATAGTCTAAAAACACCCATATGTCCCCCATCCTCAAAAAACAAACAACAAACTTTACTTAATCCATTCACGCCCACTAGTTATTATCCCATTACTTTCCTCCCTTCCATGGATGAACTTGGAAAGGTTGTCTACAATCAGTGCCATCCTTTCCTTTCCTCTCACTACCTTATTAACTCTGAAGTCTGGCTTCCAATCTCATACATAGTTCAACTGAACTGCTCTATTCAAGGTTACCAATGGTCTCTTAGTTGCCAAATCTAATGGCTGTTAATGGATTTGTCAATCCTTATCCTTCCCTCCGTGACATCCCTTCTGCCTTTGTTACTCCTTGATGCTGTCTTCTCTTTGGTTTTGGTGACATTGCTCCTCTCCAGTTCCCCCATCTGACTCCTCCTTCTTAATCTCCTTTGCTGGATTTTTATCTAGGTCATGCCTGCTATCTGTGGTTGTCCCCCAGTGCTCTGTCCTGGACCTTCTTCTCTTCTCCCTCTATACCATTTTATTTGGTGCTGTCAGATCCCATAGATTTCATTACTGTCTCTATCCAGTTGA